CCCCCCCCCCACCTTCAGAGAGGAGGAGGTTATGACTCAGAGACCTTTGTCATATCCATCACAGTCGTCAGAACTGTAATCAAGAGAGATGTCTTTCTCAGAAGGGACATCAACATGCAATGGCCCTGCAATAGCAGGGGTGCATTCATTGCTCCAGAGGAAACCATGTGGTTTCAAACCCAAGGGAGGGAGATCCACCTGGGGAGGTGGAACAGTTGCAGATTGATACACCTGCATCCAGAGCAAGTTGTTCTGGGAATCGAAGTCCAGAAGTGCCTTCACTGCATCCTTGTCAAGGATGTGCTTGTGGAAGGAGCCACCAACATGCTGTGTCTTCCTGGCACTATGGCCAAAGTAGCCAACCCATGTGGCTAGTTTCCCTCCTTGCAGCCCACTGGCTGTAAACTCATGCACAATGGCAATGATGTCCCAGGTGCACTGGTCATTGACAATGCAAAGTGCACACTGGAAGCATGCAGACATGCTCCAATGGGGCATGGGGAGCTCAGGGATTTTTGCTGCACAGGCAAGGTCCTTGAAGCAATCTTCAGAGGAGAAGAGGTCTGTGCAGACCTCGTAGAATGCATTGGCATCTCTGCAAACAAATAATTTGTTATCATTGTGGGGACAATGATCTTTCAAGAACTTCCAGAGATGGAGGTCTGGGATGTAGTAGCATCCATCCCATGAGCAGCAAATGCCTGCCCCCTTATTGGTGTGGGGGTTTATTTTGGTCCCAATTTGACTGAGCATCTTCTTATACTTGGACCATAGTAGTCCAAATTGGGGCCCATAGTGGGGTCAGATGGCCCAGTAGGCATCTGCTGTCTCCATGCACCTTGCCCAGCAAGGTGAATTGTGCTTGCAAATAGCACCTAAGTGTCTGGGAGTCAAGATGTACTCCCATGGCTTCCCCTTATCATAAGGAGAGAGGCCATGTGGCAGGTGTTTACTGCCAGTGATTGCTATGCCCATAGGGGCAAACTGCAGCAGCAAGGTGTATGCCATCTCATCCTTTGGACTGGATGATTTGCCAGATGAGCTGGCAACCACTGTGCTATATGTCTTGCTGATGGCAGAGATGTGTGAGGAGGATGTAGCAGTCACAAGAGACTGCATCTTCTGTGGGCATGCAGATGGGAGCTTGTCCACGGTGGGACATTTACCAAGGGTGACAGCAGAGACCTTTGCAACTGGAGGAACCCTTGTGACAGTGGAGACCTTCGCAACAGCAGAGGTTGTTGAGGCAGGCACTGGGGCCTCCTCAATAGGGCCAACATCCATTGGGATGTTGAATAAGTCATCTGCTTTGTGAGAGGCAGAAGGAGGAGCCACTGTCAGGGCACCAGCTCATTGCTTGGTCAAGAGACATGACTAAGCCTTTATGACATGGAAGTAGCTGGTATACCTTGGCATGTGCTGGAACCTGCTGGAAGGATTGGATGGTCAGGTGACCTGCTGTGCATGGCTGTGCATGACCTCATATGACCTCATCCTTGGTCATATGACCTGATCACCTGACTAGGCTGAGTAAGCAAGATGTTCTAGCAGGTTCCACCACAGAGGTATAAATATAAGGCCTACTCTGCCTGGGGACTGTCTCTTCAGACTTGGTCTCTTAGGATCATCCACAGGTACCTATACTGTAGATA